ACAGCGCCACTTCTGGCTTTTTTCTTTTTGCTTATGTGGTGCTGAGGAATCGAACCCAGGGCCTCAGGCATGCAAGGCAAGCACTCTACCACTGAGCCATCTTCCCAGCCCCAACATATCATAATCTTTTTAAAAAAAATCATAGTGGTGTCTTGATAATCAAAAAGTGTATGTCCATATCCTGATTTCTTACAGGTTTTCTAGCTACCAGTGGTAGAATTACTATAAGAAGCACATTGCAGCCGGTTGCCAGTGGCTCATGCCTTTAATCCTAGCTACTCCGGAGGCTGAGATCTAAGGATCACTATTGAAAGTCAGCCCAGGCAGGAAAGTTTGTGGGACTCTTATCTCCAATAAACCAGCAGAAAACCAGAAGTGGCACTATGGCTCAAGTCGTAGAATGCTTGCCTTGAGCTGAAGAGCTGAGGGACAGTGCTCAGACCCAGAGTTCAAGCCCCATGACCGACAAAAAAAAAACACAACACATTGTTAGCTGGAAATGTGGCTTAGTGGTAGAGTGCTTGCCTAGTATGCATGAAGCCCTTGGTTCAATTCCTCAGTACTACACAAACAAAAAAACCAGAAATGATGCTCTTGTAGTGCTCAAGGGCTAGCCTTGAGCACAGAGAGGCTCAAGGGATAGAGCCCAGGCCCTGAGTTCACGCTCCAGGCCTGACAAAAAAAGAATGTTAGGAACCAGGGTCTTCTATATAGGCTAATCTTCTAATTTAGAAAAGGGCACAGACTAAATTATCTGACTGATTATTAGCTTTCATAGCTATTATGACTTCTAGAGTTAAGAGATTAATAGCCTTGTCAAGCTTTGAGTAAATGATCCTTTCTTATGGCAGTATGGCTGCTTATACTATCACTTCAACATTTGAATGAAGGATAAAAAATGTTTTTGCAAGTTAACCTCCCATATTAAAATTTAATATCACACTTTGATCCTGACGACAAAGGTATTCAGCAAAGCATGGTAGCACAGAATTGTGAAAATCACAAAATTTCAAGACTGCAAATTCGGGCTCAGTCTTATCAAGTCTCTCACTAAAATCGTTCCTGCCAAAATTTGAGAATTTCCCATAATTTACACTCCTCCCTACCTCCAAACTTTCTTCTCTCATTAGCTCTGAGTGAAATCAAGGACTTGGGAAAAGAGTCAGCCTTAGAGAAGTGCAGTGGGAAGTAGGTAGTGGATGGGGATACCCCTCAGGGGTAGAGTGCTTGCCTAACATGTGCAAGGCTTTGGGTTTGATGGGGAAGGGGAAGCACACAAAGAGGAAATCCAGGTGGGGGTTGGAGGTATGGCTCAGTTGGTAGAGCACTAGCCAATGAGCAAAAGCATCAGGTACAGAATTCAAATTCCAGTCTTGGCCCCCATAAAAAGAAAAATCCATGAGGCTGGGAAGGTGGCTCAGTGGTAGAACGCTTGCCTTGCATGCATGAGGCCCTGGGTTCCATTCCTCAGCAGCACATAAGCAAAAAGAAAAATGCTGGAAGTGGTGCTGGGGCTCAAGTGGTAGAGTGCTAGCCTTGAGCTGAAGCGCTGAAGGATAAGCACCCAGGTCGAGAGTTCAGGCCCCATGTCTGGACCCCCCCCCGCAAAAAAAAGAAAGAAAAAAAAAAGAAAAATCCAGGAAGCATTGGGCATTATGTAAGTCCAGTGATAATCACGACTATTGAAGCAATAACAACTATCAGTTATTATTAACTATTATAATTAAAGTTATAACAATATTTATGATAACTAATAATAACCTTAATAGCAAAAAAGGTGGTGGCTCATAGTAGGCCTACTAAAATAGCCCTAGACTTTCTTGGAATTCATTGGCTTGCTCATCACTGGAGCTCTACCATTAGAGCTATGCTTATGGATCCATTGATTTGAGTGAACAGAAACCCTACCCTCTCATAGGCTGCTCTAACCACCCACATTTCTAGTTTACTTCATCAAATCCCACTTCAAAAATAATAATTTTAATGTTTTTTCCTTTTATTAGTTGTATTTATTACTTAGTGGTACTGAAGAATTGAACCCAGGGCTTTATACATGCTAAACAAGCACTCCACCACTAAACTACATTCCCTGTCTCTCAAGCCCCACTTGTTAAGGTAAGGAGAAAATCATTAGAAAAACGTGAAAATTGTGGAAACTGATCTGGCAACAGATTAGCTACTTTCTACTATGTATATACGTATGTATGTACGTATATATGTACATACGTATGTATGTATGTATGTATCTATCTATCTATCCATCTATCTATCTTTATCTTGTCCCACCTAGGCCTATTCCAGAAGGTTTTTTTTGCTCCAGGTTAGTACACTACCCCTTGAACTACAGCTCCATTTCCAGCTTTTTGGTGGTTAAGGAGATAACAGTCTTATGGATTTTTCCTGCCCAAGCTAGCTCGAATAGCAATGCTCAGATCTCAGCCTCCTAAGTAGCGAGGATTATAGATGTGAGCCACCAGCACCTGGCTATATTTCTTTTGTAATGTTTTTACTGTAATTTCCAGGAGAGTATAAAAGATGATTTAATTGTACCAGACAGTTTATGCTTTCCTCTATTTATAGACCTTTTGTATGATGTATAGACCTTTGGTATGATTCAACACAGACACATACTCTTTTGGATCTTTTTTTATCTGCTAGTTTATATAAAACATCAGTGAAATATAATGTTCTTCATCATCATATGCCAAGAAGATGGTAAAAAATGTGTTTTATTTCAAACACATTCTATAATACCACTTTGCAAATCTTCACAAAACATTCAGCATAAGAGAATGGACACCATTATTTAGTGAATTTGGATCTGCTGAAACTATAAAACAGAACCAGCTCCTGCTTCAAAAATTTACAAAACAGGTGGGACTGACCTTAGATTATTGGACAGTTAACATTCCATTCCAGTGTGGTCTATCAAACCCCAAAGAGGCAGAGGTTGTTTTTGAGAGAAACTAAAACATATTCCTGGGTTTATTTGTTATTTTTACATTAACAGTGGTGAAAGTCATTGCTGCTAAAATCCTAAGCAACTTTAGAATTTTTAGGTTCCTTAGATGATGAAAAGCCTTGTAGATGCTATCTTCAGGTGTGAAAAAGTAGTTCAGCAATATTTTTTCTAAATGCAAAGCTTTGGAGAATTTAGGAAGAGACAGTATTCATGGTCATGTATAAGACCTCCTTATGGAAGTTAGCCTGAGCATGTATAAGATGGAACAAGTTCAAAAAGTCTCTGTTATCCTCATCATGATCTCCTATATGCCATATACAGGAATAGACAGTAGAAAAAAGAAAAAGAAAAAATTTTTAAATATAAGATTTAGAAACAAAAGATGGACTAATTGTTTCTAATAATATTTAAACAGAAGGTTCTGTTAGTGATCTTTACTAAGTCATATATTACTATTGAAATCATGAAATTATATCAGAACACTGGATTAGAAATCAAGAAAAATATCCTTCTGTTTATGATCTGGGACAAGTCAGGTAATTGCTCTAAGCCTTTGTTTTCTCATCTATAAAGCAGAGTTAAATATGTTGGATGCCTAATAAAACTGGAAAATATTTCTTGAAACCTATATAAATACATTATTGTGAGGATTGTGATAGCTGGTAAGTGAGCAAATTAAAATTTCTTGTTGTGCATAATTGAAACTGGATTCTTTTAGAGCAGATTTTTCAACCTTATATTCTCAATTGAAACTAATATTGAATTTTGAAAGTAACTAAGCCAAAACTAAAAAGAAAAAAAGAGCTCAAAGAAAAACAACAAAAAAAGTGTCTGCCCCTTCCTTTGTTAGTTTTGAAATACCAATCTACACAGAGTCTAGAGAGAAGTCTTCAGTGAAGACTAGAAAGCACTTTTGTTCACATCTGTACATTGTATACATTCTTACTCACCAGATATAACTGACTGTAGCATTTCCATTATAACACAGGCAAAGGCACTTGCTACATTCTGCAGGAAGTTATTTCTTTCCATCTGGCTGTTAAAGACTTTGCAGACATTTTGCATCATTTTAACGGCCCAATCCATGCGATACAGTTCTTTCTCACACACCTGATTTAGACATACAAATCATTATTCTAGGTCTACATGTGAAGAAAAGCTGTAGAACTTGAAAATGGTGTTGAGATGATGGCTTATGATATAGTATTTTTAATATAGGACACGCTACTGAGTTTGTAGATGGGAAATGCTCTTATATCTACTAATCTTTTGCATCCAAGTCATGCACTTTTAGTAGAAAAACATTATTAAAAAGATTAAAGCCAGGTTCAAAATTATCAGGGAATTATTTATTAATGTAAAAACTGATACTGAAAATAAAATTAGGCTGGGAATGTGGCTTAGTGGTAGAGCGCTCGCCTAGCATGCATGAAGCCATGGGCTCAATTCCTCAGCACCACATAAACAGAAAAAGCTAGAAGTGGCACTGTAGCTCAAGTGGTAGAGTGCTAGCCTTGAGCAAAAGAAGCTCAGGACAGTGCCCAGGTCCTGAGTTGAAGCCCCATGTCTGACAAAAATAAAATAAAATAAAATAAATGAAAATAATATTAGCCAGGCACCAGTGGCTCATTTCTGTAATCCTAGCTACTCAGAGATCTAAGGAACAGGTTAAAGCCAGCCTGGGCAGGAAAGTCCATGAAACTCCAATTAACCACCAGGAAACCAGAAGTGGCGCTGTGGCTCAACATGGTAGAGCAGTAGAGTGAAAAGCTCAGGGACAGCACTCTAGTCCTGAGTTCAAGCCCCATGACCAACGGTCCCCCCCCCCACAAAAAAAAAAAGAAAAAAGATTACATATTCCTACCCAAAATTGACTGAAAGGTAAAATGTTTATTTACTAATATTCTAAATGGTCAGTTTAACCCACACAGCCAAACAGATAATGTACAGCATAAAATAAATTGTATGGTTGGGCACCAGTGGCTCACACATGTAATCCTAGCTACTCAGGAGGCTGAGATCTGAGGATCATGGTTCAAAGCCAGCCCAGGCAGGAAAGTCCACATGAGACTCTTACCTCCAATAAACCACTAGAAAACTGGAAGTAGCGCTGTGGCTCAAGCATTCACCTTGAGCTGCAGAGTGCAGGGACAGAGCCCAAGCCCAGAGTTCAAACCCCATGAATGACAAATATAAATAAATAAATAAATTGTATGTTAGTAGAAATAAGTAATCTTAATGTTAGTAGAAATAAACAATCTTTTTGTTGTTGTTGGTCATGGGCTTGAACTCTAGGCCTGGGTGCTATCTCTGAACTCTTCAGCTCAAGGCAAGTGCTCTACCACTTGAGCTATAGTCCACTTCTGATTTTCTGGTGATTAATTAGAGATAAGAGTCTCACAGACTTTCCTGCCTGGGTTGTCTTTGAACCACGATCCTTAGATCTCAGCCTTCTGAGTCGCTAGAATTACAGGTGTGAGCCACAGGCGCCCAGCTAAATAATCTTTTTTTTTTTTTTTTTTTTTTGTGGGGCCTGAACTCTGGGCCTGGGCGCTGTCCCTCAGCTCTTCAGCTCAAGGCTAGCACTCTACTACTTGAGCCACAGCGCCACTTCCAGCTTTTTTTTTGCTTATGTGGTGCTAAGGAATCAAACCCAGGGCCTCATGCATTCAAGGCAAGCACTCTACCACTGAGCCACCTTCCCAGCCCCTAAATAAATAATCTTAATTAGACAAGAAACATTTATGTGCAAATTACTGTACTAGGCACTATAAAAGAAATGTGCTGGGTGCATGTAGAAAAGGCTTTCTTTCTTTCTTTTCTAGTCTTGGGGGCCTGAATTCTAGGCCTGGGCACTGTCCCTGAGCTTCTTTTTGCTCAAGGCTAGCACTTTACCACTTGAGCCACAGTGCCACTTCCAACTCTTTCTGAAGAGTCTCAAGGATTTTCCTGCCTGGGCTAGCTTCAAAATGTGATCCTCAGATCTTGGCCTCCTGAGTAGCTAGGATTACAGGCATGAGTTACCAGTATCTGGTTTAGAAAAGGCTTTCTAGAAAAGCTTCTCTATCCTTAGTGATGTTCTTCCTACTCACTACAGTACTACCAAAGTGACCTTTCCAAAACACAATTGGTCATCTATCTCCCTTCCTTAAAACTCTGCAGCAACTCCTTATCTGAAACTGTGTTCAGGCTCATAAAATGGCTTAAAGCCCTTTCTTTAGCGTCTTCTTTCCGATCTAAATATTGTATTTTACCTTCAAAAATAATACTGAGAAGAAAGAATACAATATGAACAATAGTACTAGGGACTGGGACTATAACTCAGTGAAGGAAGCTTAACCTATGCTTGATACTTTAGGGTTATAATGATGGGGTCAGGGAGAATCATGAACTGCTTACAAAGCTCTGAATATATAATCATGTAATTTAACTTCTCTGCTTCCCTGGATAGTTTCTTGTTACACAAACCACATGTGTTTAGTTGGATTCCTTTTTCTTAGAAGCTGTGTGTGTGTGTGTGTGTGTGTGTGTGTGTGTGTGTGTGTGTGTGTGTGGCTTCTGCTCAAAGCTAGTGCTCTACACTTTAGTCACAGCTCCACTTCTGGTTTCTGGTGATTAACTGGAGATAAGAGGCTCATGGCCTCCTGCCTGAGCTGGCTTTGAACTTCAATCCTTAGATCTTAGCCACTTGAGAAGCTTTACAGATGTGAGCCACCAGGGCTTGGCTGTCTGTGAGACTCTTATCTATAATTAACCACCAAAAAGGCCGAAGTAGAGCTGTGGCTCAAGTAGTACAGCACCAGTTTTGTGAAGAAAATGTGCAGGGACAATGCCTAGACCCTGAGTTCAAGCCTCAGTGCCTGTCTAGCAAGTATAAGGCTCTGAGTTAAAAACCACAGTACTGCCCCAAATAAGACAAAGCAATCCCTCCACCCCGAAAAAAAAAAAAAAAAAACCAAGAAAACAAAAAAGAAAACTACCAAATAGGTTGGGAAGTTGGCTCAGTGGTAGAGTGCTTGCCTTGCATGCATGAGGCCCTGGATTTGATTCCTCAGCACTACATATGCAGAAAAAGCCGGAAGTAGGGCTATGGCTCAAGTGATAGGGCGCTAGCCTTGAGCTGAAGAGCTGAGGGACAGCGCCCAGGCCCAGAGTTCAGCCCCCACAACTGACAAAAAAAAAAAAAGCTACCAAAAACTAAGAAAATAAATATATTTCAATACTTAAATTCTTCATTAATACTTTATACACATTTCAGTTCCTTACAGGCAGCTACCTGGTCAGTCAGTTCTTTTTTTTTTTTTTTTTCCTGCCAGTCCTGGGGCTTGAACACAGGCCTTGGGCACTGTCCCTTTTGCTCAAGGCTAGCATTTTACCACTTAAGCCACAGCACCACTTCTAGCCTTTTCCGTTTATGTGGTACTGAGGAATCAAACCCAGGGTTTCATGCATGCCAGGCATGAAACCACTAAGCCACTTTCCCAGTCTTCAAGTCAGTTCTTAATTAGTGTGTTGGTGCTGAGAATGGAAACTAGGGCCAACTAGGCTAGAGTCTCTGTCATTGAGGGACAAACCCAGCAACTTGTTTTTTGACTTACCAAAGCTAAAAAGACTGTGAGTTTTGCCAGCTCAAAGGCATGTCCATTCACAGCTTTACTAGCCATGAAAGAGAAGCAGATGCTGTTCCCACTTAAGATGAGGAGATGAGCATTATTCTCTAGAAGCCACTCCTGGGGAATCACTTTTATTAGGGAAAGAAAAGTTACTTGATGAGAAATTACACAATAAGTATAGTAAGCATCTTTAAATGCACGCAATAGTGTATTGTGTTATTAAATATCAGTGCCAAGGAAAACACTCAAATGTTTTAGTTTTTCAACTACAGCCTTCAACCGGAGACTGAAGTTATTGCCACGTCACAGAAGCTTTCACAATTGTGTTAATAATATTAAATAGTAAAAACAATTCTCCTACACACGTCAGTTGGAAAAGTGAGAGCATGTCATATGGCAAAAACAAAAATAAAAAATAAAGAAGGAAAAAAGAATAGCTTTGTAAACTTTAAAATTGAAAGCAAATTGGTTCACCTTTCTTGTATTAGAAGGCTTTCTTTTTATATAACCTAGAAGGGTGCTTCTGAGAACTTGCAAAATAGGAATGAAGCTTTCAAATAATTAATAATAATATATTTATAAAACTAGTAATTGAAAGGAAGTTGATTAAATGCATTATCTTCAAACATAATGTCAAACTTTTAAAATATGTTAGGGTAATTAATGATTTCTAATAGATCCTTCATTTGTTTTTCTTTTGTTGTTATTTTTTTGTCAGTCACGGGGCTTGAACTCTGGGCCTTGGTACTATCCCTGAGCTTCTCAGCAAACAGCGTGTGCTCTACCACTTGAGCCACAACGCCACTTTGTGTTTTCTGGTGGCTAATTGGAGATAAGAGTCTCATGGACTTTCCTGACTGGGCTGGCTTTGAACCACGATCCTCAGATCTCAGCTTCCTGAGTAGCTAGGATTACAGGCACGAGCCACTGGTGCTCAGCAATCCTTCATTTGTTATACCTTATAATTTTTTGTGTGTGCTGGTCCTGGGACTTGAACTCAGGGCCTGAGTGCTGACCTTGAGCTGCTTTTTTGGTTCAAGGCTAATGCTCTACCACTGAGCCACAGTTTTACTTCAGACTTTTTTATGAGAAGTTAGAGATAAGAGTCTTATGGACTTTTCTGCCTGGGCTGGCTCTTAACTGAGATCCTCAGATCTCAGCCTCCTGAGTAGTTAGGATTACAGACATGAGCCACTGGCACCCAGCTTGTCCTTACTTTTTTTTTTGTCTGTTGTGGGTATTAAGTTCTGGGTCTGGGCGCTGTCTCTTAGCTCTTCAGCTCAAGGCGAGTGCTCTACCACTTGAGCCACAGAGCCACTTCCGGTTTTCTGGTGGTTAATTGGAGGTAAGAGTTTCATGGACTTTCTTGCCCAGGATGGCTTTGAACCGCGATCCTCAGATCTCAGCCTCCTGAGTAGCTAGGATTAGAGGCATGAGCTACCGGCGCCAGGCCTTACAATTTTCTAACAATATTCCAATAACCAACTCTATTGCACTACATTAGTAAATACATATTTTTACCTGATAGTTCATCTAAAAGACTGATAACATCATCTGTTGACCATTCTTTGCTGTTTATGTCATACAGCAATTTAATGGCATCAGCCAAACATTTCAGACTGGATTCATCTGTAGGTCCTTCTATCATCTTCTTCCAAACCACCTTTCCTGAATTGAAACAAATGCTAGGCTATGACAGAATAGTTGGTTTTGTGGTAAAGATTTTAAGGATTCTTTAAAGTGGATATTGGATTGCATAATGGAATTTTGCTATATAAGCTACTTTTCAAAATGAAGTCAGTTCTGATAACAGTATAAATTTCAATGTTTCTAACTAATGTGATGAAACAAAGCAAACAGTTGGACTGTGAAAAATAGTACTTGCAGTTCAAACATGACATTATCCCACAGCAGAAATTGTTATAACTTTGCTAAAATAAAATAAAACCTATTGATATCCTTCCAAAATTGAAATGCTATCCTTGAGAGTCTTTCAAATCTTTCAAATTGAAATAAGTCATTGAGTCAATTTTTTGGTTACTTATCTATAACCAGTTCTCTTTGTAGGTTATACATATTTGTGTAAGTGTGTATGTGGGTGATTGGGGGGGAAGGTGAGGGGAGTTCCTAGGGCTTGAACTAAGGGCTTGAGCACTGTCTCTGAACTTTTTGTGCTGAAGGCTAGTGCTCTACCACTTGGAGCCACAGCACCATTTCTGGCTTCTTTGGTAATAAATTGGAGATAAGAGTCTCACAGACTTTCTTGTCTGGGCTGGCTCTGAATCACAATCCTCATATCTCAGCCTTGTGAGTAGCTGTAAGCCACTGATACCTGACTCATACAACATTTTAATCTTACTGCTACAACTCAACATGCTTTACACTGATTACCTCCTGATATGAATGAACGTGGACTAAGAAAACACATGATAATTTTAGCTGGTATGGTGGGTCATACCTAATTACTTGGGAGGCAGAGCTCAAGAGAATTGCAGTCTGAAGCCAACCCTGGGCAAAATGTTAGTGAGACCTTAACTCAACCAATAAAAGGCTGTTAACGGTAGCACAAGCCTGTTATCCCACCTACACAGGAAGAATAAATAGGAAGATCATTATACAGACTGCATAAACATAAGACCTGTTTAAAAAAAAATGAAAATAAGCTGGATTTGTAACTCAAGTGGTAGGGTGTCTGCCTAGCAAGCAAGAGCCCTGTAGTTCCAAACAGGAGTTTACACTTAGTACCATTACCACATAAAAAATGAAGTAAAATAAAAGCATAATTTTAACTTTAAGCAAAATTTAGGCAAAAAATTATAAAAATCAGATTATACACTAAAATGTAGTAAAGCATCAATTCTGACCACTATTTTATTTCTTAATAATATTAGTCCCCTCCAATGACAAACATAAATCTTGATTTAAGATAATATTTAAAATTAAAAAGCAGCTATTTCAGGTAAACAGGGATAGAAATATATTTGGTAATTGGCTACAACAAAACAAGTTTTGTCTTGAAGTTTAAGTTATATACAAGTTACGTAGAATAACATCTATGAAGTTATGGAACAGAATTTAGTCATTAAGAAACTGAGCAGACTAAAAAAGATAGTTTTCATAAAACAAACAACTACAAAAAGTTTGGTGCTCACCATTCTGAGGTGATATTGGCCCAAAGATGATATATAGTAATCTTGCTTGATTCACCATTGGCCATGGTTTTAATATTCTAGTCAGCCAAAAAGCAGAATCGCTTCGATGTGTCCAGTGATCAAGCAGAACATTTCTACAGAACAGTCTGATTCTTAACTCCAATTTATGGATACTTCCTATGAAGGCAAAGAATCACAAACCATTTTTTTCCCTTAAAAACATGGATTGCATATTTGATAGTTATTAGAGCAAGCTATTAACACTGTGGTTAATATAGTGATCATAAACTGTGTGTCTAAACAGGAAGGCAGTTGTGGACACTGTCCCTCAGCTCTTCAGCTCAAGGCTAGCACTCTACCACTTCAGCCACAGTGCCACTTCCGGCTTTTTCTGCTTATGTGGTGCTGAGGAATTGAAACCAGGGCCTCATGCATGCAAGGCAAGAATTCTACCACTGAGCCACCTTCCCAGCCCCGGATTATTGGTTCTTAAGATGCCCTGATTATGTAGTTTGACTCTCCTTTTGTCTTACCTTTTCTGATTTATACTAAATACTCTGAATAATAGGTAGAGAACATGTATTTTAATATATGTTCAGGGCTAGGAATGTGGCTTAGTGGTAGAGTGCTTGCCTAGCATGCATGAAGCCCTGGGTTCAATTCTTCCATACTACATAAACAGGACAAGCCCAGAAATGGTGCTGTGGCTCAAATAGTACATGCTAGTCTTGTACACAGAGAGTTTCAAGAACTGTGCACAGAGGGCTAGGGGTTTAGCCCAGCAGAAGGGCGCCCACCCGGCACACACAAGGCCCTGGGTTCGGTCCTCAGCCCTGGAAAAAAAAAAAAAAAAAGAACTGTGCACAGGCCCTGAGTTCAAGCCCCTGAACTGGCAAAAACAAAAACAAAAAATAAGTTCACATATATCAGAATCTTACACAGTTTCTGGTTTAAAAAGGAATGAGATGACAGGAGCTGGTGGTTCATACTTGTAATACTAGCTATTCAGGAGGCTGAGATTTGAGGATCACAGTTCAAAGCCAGCACAGGCAGGAGAGTCTGTGAGGCTCTTACCTGCAATTAACTACCAGAAAATTGGAAGTGGAACTGTGGCTTAAAGTGGTAGACATTCATCTTGAGCAATAAAAGTTCAGGGACAGTGCTCAGGCCCTGAGTTCAAGCCCTGTGACTGACAAAAATAAATAAGTAGGCAAATAAGTGCAGAGAAAGGTCAAAAGAATTAACAATTTAGATTGATCTTGAACACATGAGGAAACTAATAAAAGTTTTTAATCAGAGCTAGGCACTGGTGGCTCATGCCTGTAATTCTTGCTACTCAGGAGGCCAAGATATGAGAATTGCAGCCAAGTCCTCAAGACTCTTCAATTAACCACCAAAAAAGTTGGAAGTGGAGCTGTGGCTCAAGTAGTAGAGTGCTAGTCCTGAGCAAAAATGTTTAAGGACAGCATCCAGGCCCTAAGTTCAAGATCCAGACTCAGTTTTCTGATCAGTTGTTTTTTTTTTTTTTTTTGATGGTTAAGGGGGCCTGGGCACTTTCCCTGTGCTCTTCAGGCTCTACTGCTTGAGCCACAGCTCAAGCCACAGCGCTACTTCCCGTTTTCTAGTGGTTTATTGGAGATAAGAGTCTCTCTGTCTCTCTGTCTCTGTTTCTCTCTCTCTTTCACATACACACACACACACACACAGAGTCTCACAGAGTTTCTTGCTGGGGCTGGCTTTGAACCGTGATTCTCAGATCTCAGCCTCCTGAGTAGCTAGGATTACAGACGTGCCACTGGCACCTTGCTCTGATCAGTTTTTGATCAAAGGAGAGCATAATAAATTGTGTTATTGATTCATCGGGCCTCTGAATCTGCCTTTTTCTGGAGGCTGAGGCAGGAAGTTCACAAGTTTGAGTCTAGCTTGGGTTACATATTGTCTTAAGTAAATGAAACCATGAATTAACAAATAAGTAAATCTGTCCTTTTAATCCACAATGTTTTACATGAAATACTTTAAGCTTATTATTATTAATTTTTAAATTTTTTTGCCAGCCCTGAGCCTTAAATTCTGGGTCTGGGTGCTGTCCCTAAACTCCTTTTGTTTAAGGTTAGCACTCTACTACTTGAGCTACAAAACCACTTCCAGCTTTGATTAATTGGAAATAAGAGTCTGACAGACTTTCCTGCTCTGGCTGGCTTCAAACTGCCATCCTCAAATCTCAGCCTCTTGAGTAGCTAGGATTAGAGGCATGCATCATGCCTGGCTTTAAAGTTCCTTTTCTTTTCTTTCTTTCTTTCTTTTTTTTTTTTGGTTGGTCGTGGGGCTTGAACTCTAGGCCTGGGCACTGTCCCTGAAGTCTTCAGCTCAAGGTGAGCACTCTACTACTTGAGCCACAATGCCACTTCTGACCTTTTCAGTTTATGTGGTGCTGAGAATTGGGCCCAGGACCTCATACATGCGAGGCAAGCACTCTACTGCTGAGCCACCTTCCCAACCCCTAAAGTTTCTTTCTTTTTTCTTTTTTTTGTCGGTCATGGGGCTTGAACTCTGGGCCTGGGCGCTGTCCCTCAGCTCTTCAGCTCAAGGCGAGCGCTCTACCCCTTGAGCTACAGCGCCACTTCCGGTCTTCTGGTGGTTTATTGGAGATAGGAGTCTCACGGTCTCTCCTGCCCGGGCTGGCTTTGAACTGCGATCCTCAGATCTCAGCCTCCTGAGTAGCTAGGATTACAGGTGTGAGCCACCAGCGCCCAGCTCCTAAAGTTTCTTGTACATCACTTCCAATACCTGCTCCCTCTCTCCCCAGAAGTAATTATAATCTTGAATTTTGGTTTTGTCCCTCCTATGTTAGTCATATTAGTCAGGGTTCTCCAGAGAAACCACCAAGAGGATAGACACTATCTTTGTATATATGATTGTGTGTGTTTGTGTGCATGTATATTGTATATGTATATGTATATATATATATATATATATATATATATATATTTGTGTGTGAATGGTAGAGAGAGGGAAAAAGAGGGGAAAGAAGAGAGAAGAAAAAAGAAAGAGGAAGAGAGTTTCATGTAGATTCAAAGGCTGTCTGCCAGGTGAATTCCTTGTTATTTTGAGAATTAGTCTTTTTATTTTTTGGTCGTGGGGCCTGAACTCTGGGCCTGAGCACTGTCCCTGAGCTCTTCAGCTCAAGGCTTGCACTCTACCACTAGAGCTACAGTGCCACTGCCAGCTTTTTCTGCTTGTGTGGTATTGAGGAATTGAACCCAGGGCCTCATGCATGCAAGGCAAGCACTCTACCACTGAGCCACCTTCCCAGCCCTGAGAGTTAGTCTTGGTCTATTAGGGTTTTCAAGTGAACGGATGAAGTCCTCTACATTATGGAGGATAATATGCTTGATTAAAAGTCTACTGACGGGCTGGGAAGGTGGCTCAGTGGTAGAGTGCTTGCCTCGCATGCATGAGGCCCTGGGTTCGATTCCTCAGCACCACATAAACAAAAAAAAATAAATAAAATAAAATAAAAATCTACTGACTTGGGACTGGGAAGGTGGCTCAGTGGTAGAGTGCTTGCCTCGCATGCATGAGGCCCTGGGTTCGATTCCTCAGCACCACATAAGCAGAAAAAGCCGGAAGTGGCACTGTGGCTTAAGTGATGGAATGCTAGCCTTGAGCTGAAGAGCTGAGGGACAGTGCCCAGGCCCAAAGTTCAGGCCCCAGGATGGACCAAAAAAAAAAGAAAAAGAAGAAAGAGTCTCATGGACTTTTCTGCCTAGATTTGAACCAGGATTCTCATATCTCAATCTCCTGAGTAGCTAGGATTACAGGCATGAGCTATCTGTTTTGGCTCGTGTGTGTGTGTGTGTGTGTGTGTGTGTGTGTGTGTATGTATGTGTGTGAGTGTGTTTGTGTATGTGTGTGGAGGGGGGCTCCTGGGGCTTGAACTCAGAACCTAGGCACTGTCTAGCATTCCGCCACTTTGAGTCACAGCACCACTTCCAGTTTTCTGGTGGATAATTGGAAATATGAGTCTTGTCGACTTTCCTGCCTGGGCTGTTTTTGAATTGGGATCCTCAGATTTTTAGTCTCCTGAGTAGCTAGGATTACAGGTGTGAGCCACCAGCATCAGGCCCAATTATGTTGTTTTTTTGTTGCTGTTGTTGGTTATGGGGCTTGAACTCAAGGCCTGGCCACTGTCCCTGAGCTCTTCAGCTCAAGGCTAGTGCTCTACCACTTTGAGCTACAGCTCCACTTCCATGTTTGTTTGTTTGTTTGTTTGTTGCCAGTCCTGGGGCTTGAACCCAGGGCCTGGGTACTGCCCTTGAGCTTCTTCTTATTTATTTATTCATTTTCTGGTTGTGAGGCTTGAACTCTGGCCTGGGCGCTGTCCCTAGCTCTTCAGCTCAAGGCTAGCGCTCTACCATTGAGCCACAGTGCCATTTCCAGTTTTCAAGTGGTTTATTGGAGATGAATCTCACAGACTTTCCTGCTGGGACAAGCTTTGAACTGTGATCCTAAGATCTCAGCCTCTTGAGTAGCTATCATTACATGTGTGAGTCACCAGTGCCCAGCCTTGAGCTTCTTTTGGTAGGCTAACACACTACCACTTGAACCACAGTGACACTTCCAGCTTTTTCTGTGTATGTGGTACTGAAAATCAAACCCAGGTCTTCATGTGTTCTAGATAAGCACTTTACCACTAAGCCACATTCCCAGTCCCACTTTCAGTTTCTTTCTTTTTTTTTTTTCCCACTTCCAGTTTCTGAGTGGTTAATTGGATAAGAGTCTCATGGGGACCTTCCTCCCTGGGCTGGCTTTGAACTGCCATCCTCAGCCATCAGCCTCCTGAGTAGCTAGGATTGCAGGGCATGAGCAACAGGCATCAGGCCCAAGTGTTTTTTCTGTTTTTTTTTTTAATCTTTTTGTATCTGTGTGTAATCATAAAGTTTAAATATATAGGCTGGGCATGTAGCTAGCATGCTCAAGGCCCTCAATTTGATCCCCAGCAATTGCAGGGAAAAAGACTAAATGTAATTGTTTCATATGTACATAAATAGGACTATATTGAAAATACATTTTTTGTTTAGAATTGTTTTTTTGGGGGTCCGGTTGTGGGGCCTGAACTCTGGGCCTGGGCACTATCCCTCAGCTCTTCAGCTCAAGGTTAGCACTCTACCACTTGAGCCACAGCGCCACTTCCGGCTTTTTCCTTTTTGCTTATGTGGTGCTGAGGAATCAAACCCAGGGCCTCATGCATGCAAGGCAAGCACTCTACCACTGAGCCACCTTCCCAGCCCCTGAAAATAGCTTTTTTGTAGCCTTCTTTTCCTAAATTATGTTTTAAAAAGTATCCATATTATACATGGCTCCAGTTATTTATTTTAGCTATTAATAGTTTTAATTGCATAAATTGCCACAATTCATTTACCCATTCTTCTGACAATAGGCTTTGTTTATAGTATTTTATTTATTTATTTATTTCCAGTCCTGAGACTTGAACTCAGGGCTTGGGCTCTGTCCCTGAGCCTCTCTGTACTCAAGGCTAGTACTCTACCACTTGAGCCACAGTGCCACTTCCAGCTTTTTCTGTTTATGTGGTACAGAGGAATTGAACCCAGGGCTTCATGCAGACTAGGCAAGCACTCTACCACTAAACCATATTCCTAGTCCTGCAGTATTTTATAACAACAAATAATGCTGCAATTTCTATACTTACACAGTTTGCCTATACATATTGTTGGAATTTGTCAGTAAAAAAGCTGGATGCAAGATTCTATAACTTTAAAAATATGAAATAGCTCAGATATATAGAAATTTAAATGCTAGAATAAACTTATTAGTTAATACCACATAGCTTAAGGAATGACATTATTCATACAGTTCATTAGTCCATGCCTTCTAAGGACTTGCTTGCTTCTTCTTCTTTTTATTTTATTTATTTATTTTATTGAGGTGAAACCTAGGGCCTTAAACACGTTAGGCAAGTATTCACCCATTGATCTATATCTTCAGCCTGCATAGAGGGTTTTTGTTTTTTGTTTTTGTCATTGGGCTGGAACTCTGGGCCTGGGCACTGTCCCTTAGCTCTTCAGCTCAAGGCTAGCACTCTACCACTTGAGCCACAGCACCACTTCTGGTTTTCTGGTGGTTAATTGGAGAGATGAGTTTCACAGATTTTCCTACCCAGGCTGGCTTTGAATCGATCCTCAGATCTCAGTTTCCTGAGTAGCTAGGATTACAGGTGTGAGCCACTGGCACCCAGCTGCATATAGTTGTTTTTTGTTTTTTAATTGTAGTGGGGATTGAACTTAAGGGCCTGGAGTTTGTTAGGCTTTGTACCTCCCATCCTTTGCACACTACTTTTTTGCACTAGTTACAAATTGAGTGTTTACTGTTTCCTTAAATTTCCTTTATTATATATGTCATAATTCGGATTTTTCTTTTCTTTTAAAATTTGGTTTTTAAATATGCTTTTGAATTCCTTCTTTTTAAAAAAATTAGCCTCTGGGGACTGGGAAGGTGGCTCAGTGGTAGAGTGTTTGCCTTGCATGCATGAGGCCCTGGGTTCAATTCCTCAGCACCACATAAGCAGAAAAGGCCAGAAGTGACACTGTGGCTCAAGTGGTAGAGCACCAACCTTGAGCTGAAGAGCTGAGGGACAGCACCCAGGCCCAGAGTTCGGGCCCCATGACTGGCAAAGAAAAAAATTAGCCTCTGTATAATATTATTAGTGAATTGAAGTTCTTTACCTGGTTTGCTACAGACAGCAGTCTGCATCTTGCGGGAGAGATTAGTCAAGTCACATAAGAAGTTATAAACACGATGGCATTCAATTTCATCCCAACCTGCTATTAAAGTCTGAGGAAAATAAGATAAAGAAAACATTTATAATCCTCAAAAAAAGAAAGAAAACATTATAGACATTAAAAAAAATCAAAATGTTAAGTTACTATTCCCTTATGACTGTAGTTTTTTTGTTTTTATTTTTGGTAGGTCCTGGAGCTTGAACTCAGGGTCTAGGTGGTGGCCCTGAGCTTTTGTGCACAAGGACAGAATCTACCACTTTCAGCCACAGCTCTATTTCTGTTTGTTTGTTTGTTTTTTTCCTAGTTAATTGGAGTCTCAAGGACTTTCCTTCTTGGGCTGGCTTCAAACTACAACCCTCAAACCTCAGCCTCCTGAGATTATAGGTATGAGCCATTGGTGCTTGGCTGTGTATAACTGTTTTTAACATATGATCAAGGTAATTATAGCATCACTAGGGAGGTATTCAAATACCAACAATTTACATAATCATAATAGAAATGCTCTCAAATTCAGCTTGTTTTTAGTTGAAAAGTAAGTATCTTTTTTTTTTTTTGGTTGGTCGTGGAGCCTGAACTCTGGGCCTGGGCGCTGTCCCTCAGCTCTTCAGCTCAAGGCAAGTGCTCTACCACTTGAGCTACAGCGCCACTTCCAGTTTTCTGGTAGTTTATTGGAGATAGGAGTCTCACAGTCTTTCCTGCCTGGGCTAGCTTTGAACTCTTCCTCAGATCTCAGCCTCTTGAGTAGCTGGGATTACAAGCATGAGCCACCAGCGCCCGGCTGAAAAGTATCTTTTTAGAAAACTTTTTTTCTTTTGCTTGAAGCTTTAACTCAGGTCCTTGAACTTTTTTGCTCAAGGCTAGTGCTCTACCACGTGAACCACAGTTCTACTTTCAGTTTTTTGATGGTTAAATGGAGACAAGAGTCTCAATAACTTTCATGCCTGGGCTTGGCTTTGAACTGTGATCCTCAGATGTCAGACTCCTGAGTAGCTAGGATTATAGGCATGAGCCACTGGTACTGGCCTTAGCTGAGTTTTTGATCCATCCTCTCCCAGTCTCCTTCCTTTTTTTCCTTTTTGGGCAGGCTTATAGCCCAGGCTTGGCTTGATCTGCCTGGGATTGTAGGGTCACACCACTATGTTTTGTGGCTTCTGCTGTTTTATTTTTGTAGAACTCCTTTACACTCCTCCTCCATGCTTTCATTTATGATATTGCTTACAAATAATAACTATTTTTTTTCTTTTGTTGGTCATGGGGCTTGAACTCTAGGGCTGGGTGCTGTCCTTGAGCTCTTCAGTTCAAGGCGAGTGCTCTACCACTTGAGCCATAGTGCCACTTCTGGTTTTTATCTTTTTGCTGATGTGGTGCTGAGGAATGGAACCCAGGCCTCAAGCAGACAAGGCAAGCACTCTCTCTACCACTGAGCCACCTTCCCAGCCCCTGCATAAGTTCTTAAAACAACTAACTGAGTCGGGTCCTGGTGGCTCATGCCTGTAATCCTAGCTACTCAGGAGGCTGAGAGCTGAGGATCATGGTTCAAAGCAGACCGGGGAAGAAAGTCTGTGAGACTCTTTTTTTTTTTTTGTGAACATACTGTACAGAAGGGTTACAATTACATGGGCAAGATAATGAGTACATTTCTTATCAAGCATTGTAGCCTCTT